TCCACCGTCCATCCATGCATATCGTTTTTTTTATTTCCCTCGACGAAAGCTCTGTTAATACGCGCGTTAACACCTCACGATCCACGTTGGCCTTTTTTTCTTTTTTCTTTTTTTTACAATCCTTCTTTTCTTCGCCCATCTCCCTATCCCTCTCTCTCCCCTTCTCGCTCACTTTTCTTCCCCTCCCCTTCTTTTTTCTCTCCTCTCTTCCATCCGCTTCCTCTGTCCTTCTTTTCCTCGCTCCTCTACCTCTCTCTCTCTCGCTTCGACTGCGTAGATTACCGAGGGGTTGGCACGCCGTAAAATCTGCCAACACGTGTAAAAACGACACGCGGCTGTATTCCACCGTGTTTTATTTTTCCTCCCAACTATTTGCCGTGAACCGGCAACCCCCGAAAAATCTCTTTGGGAACGGGCACACGGCTGCTTTAACGTCCACTCGACGACTTAACGTCCGTAATCTAGCTTCACTTAACTCTCCCGTGACGCTCCCGTAACCCCCTTCGCCCTCTTACTACTTAGGCTCGTTCCTTCGAGGATTAAAGGATTCCTCTCCGTCTTTTTCGCAGGACCATGGTTTATGGATTCGTGCTTTCCAAGCTCGTTGAAAATAAATACCGGACTTTTAATTTTTCTTTTTCCATTTTCTTTCTTTCTTTTTTTTATTCGCCGGATAATCGACGGATTCGTTTATCCGAAAAATCGAAATTAATTAATTTATTTGAAAGTGGAAGATAAATTTCGAAATTTAAATAAAGATAGATGAATGAGTTTCTTATGAAATATTTCTAAAAGTGAATTATTGGTAACGGAACAATCTCTCTCGATTTCGATATTTAATATATCTGGTAATTTATTTGGGAGTAAGGGCTATATCAAGTTTGAAATTGCATTTTTCTCTCATAGTTTGCGTATCATTTGATTTAAATGGAGAAGAATTTCTTACATTATATTAAAATATTATAAAAATAAGGTATAATACTATTAAAATCGAATTAATTTAAAATGGATTAAAATTTATGAAAGTAAAATTTTTCTAACTTATATAGGAACGTAAATTGCACAAAGTTCCAATGTCCTTGAGAGTCGACAGGATTAACCCTATTCCTCTCTTTAAAATCAGATTAAGCTACCTTTTTTTCCGACTTTATTAACTAATTTAGAGTAAAACGGGGAGGGAAGGGAAAAAATAGTTGGCAAAAAGTTTTGGTTAAATGGTGGCTGGCTGCAAACTTGCCTCCCGTTTTACGACACTTTCGAGTTCGCGTTCTCTTCGTCATACGACATATAAAAACAATCCGTGTTCGATCCTCCTCGACAAAATTCAAAATTTTAATGTATATGGCGTCAACGAATTCGTATTCCTTCTGCATGGATAAAAACGGACACTAAAATTTCGCTCAACAAATATTTCAATAATATTATTCCATAATATCGGTTCAAATCAACTCGTGCAAATGTCAAATTTTTTTTGTATGAAATACTTTTATCTTATAAATCACTATGAACAAAATTTAGCACGATACAAGGAAGACGAATGATATTTTATAAGAAGAATTACTTACTTTTTACTTCATTTATATTTTCATTATCGTTTAAATTAAGATAAAAGTAATTTTATCTCGTAAAGCATTAATTTATCGTTGTTCTAAATCAATTGAGAGCACGATAGATACTTATGGATAAGAATAGACGTATCATATATTATTACCATGTATGCAATACCACCGTGTATGTGATGAGATCGAACGTGTATAAAACTACGTATATGAAATAATATTTGTATACGATAGCCTCATTGAAACTTCTCTAAAATCAGATTTTTGGACATGGAAAAATTCCACTCAATAATTTGTTTTTTACACACTTTCCTTCCAATCATACCACTCGATTTCGAATACACATTTTCACGTTACCGATCACGTTTTACTCGAACTCGAGGAGGGCACAAAACCCGTGCGAAAAGATAAATCAAAGACTCACCGTTCACGATGACGATGACACCCAGCAGGCAGAGTAGCAAGTGTCGCAGGCACATCTTCTCTGATAGAGATCACCGAAAAAAAAGGGGGGGAACACGCAAAAAAGGAATTCTCACTTGCTCCTCTCGTACATCGTTTTTTTCAATCCCGCTGGTGCAAAAAGCCTCCCCTCGCCCTTTCTCGATTTGTCTTTGACGATCAGTCGACCAGGTGCAACCGGACGTTCATCGCGATCCTGGCATTTGTTATCATCTTGCCCGAGAACTGTCTCCGTAAGGAGCTCACAAATGCTTGCGCGCGTTACTTTCCAAATATAACAGCGAGTGCCAACGATCAAAGGGTGTTGGACGATAACCTCAATAAAAATCGGACGACAGACGGGACATAGGATCACAGTTACTCGAGTAGACTCGGGCCGACAGTAACCAGATTGAGTAGATTCGACAGTAATTCGAATACTCTCCGTTGAAATCCGTGTTTTCGTCTTTCTCTCCTCCTCCTTCTCGAGATCGATGGGGATCCCTTTTCTCCCCCTTTCCAACTTCTAGACTGTCGACTTCTAGACAGCCCTTTGTCCCCAGCCTTTCAACCCTCCAAGATGTAATATCTCTCCCTTGCCACACGGATTCTTCGATCTTCGATCGTTGTTTGTTCCTCGATGACGTCAGAAGCTATCCCGCGATCCTTTGCGAGCTTCCCTTAAGAAGCCAGGCAACGAATCCCCTCTCGAGACACGGTGATCCCGCCCTTTTAACGTAATTACTTTTACCGAGATCCTGCAAATTTTAACCAACAATCCCCGATCTCACGACTCCCGTCCACTCCCCTTAAACACCATCGAGCTTCATCCTCTTGCACCACCAACAACCGAACGATCCAATTTTATTAACAACCCCTCGTTAAACTTGCCGAAATTACTCGCGTTGATTCCAAAGTTCTTCCCACTCGCTCGATCGATTATTTCTCAAAACTCCTCAAAACTCCTCCGCGATACCATTCGAAGAAGGTATGGGAAGGGAAGGCCAGATCACCTACTCGAAAACCACTCGAAAGAAAAGATCGCCACGAGAAAGCGTGGGAACGCGAACGAGGAACACCACGAGACCACTTCCGGCCACGGCGGACTCGCGGCGCTTACTGAATCTCTCTCGCGGCGCTCCTCGAGGGTGACGAGCACGTTTCTCACCCCCACCATTGGCCGCCTGGCCGCCACACGACAGGCCGCGCGGCGATCGGCCGCGCATGCACACTACCACCAGCCCACCGTGGTTACGCGCGACTCGTCGTCGTCGTCGTCCTCGTCTTCGTCCTCGTCTTCGTCGTCCTCCTCGTCGACGTCGACGTCGTCGTTGCTCGCGAGCGTCGCGATGCCTTTCAAGAAGCGAACTGACTGTGAGCAGCGAGCAAGGCGCGCGTTTGGTGGGGCGGAAGAGAGAGAAAGCGCACACACACACATACACGTATACGGGGCGGGAACCGACTTGCGGCACGAGTTATGACCTCAAAGGGGTCGTTAACGAGCGCCCGCCAAATTAGTATAACGGCCACTCCTCTCCCCCTCCGCGATGTGGAAACAACCCCTTTCCTTCTTTCTCTCTCTTCAAGTTTCTTGGGGGTGGATTTCGAAGGAAGAGGACGATTGGAGATGGAGAGGGGACGATTTTGAGATTGCAAGAAATTTTTATTGTTTCGTCGAGTTTCGATAAATAGATGTTAGAATGTGTGGTGGTATTGGTGAAATATTACGCTATCCCCGGTCGCTTTCATCTATTTCAAATGCATTCCGCATTAATATTAACGGTAAGATTAATATGCGATATACGTGGCAAGATCGAAAGCACAAAGAGACTCGGTAACTCGGAATCTACATCAAAATTCGCATAGTGATGGTATACTGATATCAATATGCTTTCGATGCACGTGTCGAATCACGTTGCATCAAAGATTAAGAAGATGTAATAAATGCAGGAATATAAAGAATTTCCATGAAATTCTAATCGACTAAATTTATTTAAATAAATTGGTAAGGTTTTACCATTATTTGAAACGTCACGATTTCATTATTGGTCACTTGGTGCAACGAGACGAGGTAATGCGACACGTTCGAACATCATTAACACGTTCGTTCTCGACAGGATGCATCGAACATACTCGAGAGAATATTCGACGCTTTTTACGAGAAAAATCCACAAGCATCAACACTCATCGACGATCGTTAATTAATCTTCTCTATACGATCTATACGATCGTATATCGGCAAGTAATGCAACCTATCCGTATACTAACGAGCTGCGCGTCATACACGATCGATATAATTAATAATTAGTTTCTCCGTATCAAAGCAGTATCGCGAGCCCCGCTGTCTCTCCAGAGACGTAAATAATTATTCAATAGCTACCACGGTATAAGCCATAATCAACAACGTGTCAATCTATATCTCGTTTAACAGAGAGGCGCCCTTTAAAAGAGTTCGACTGGCTCGTGTATCGGAATAGAAAGGAAACCAAGTGTCTTTATTCCATTTGTTCTTCAACCTCTGTCCTTGTCTGATGTATAATGAGCATATACACGCGTGTTTATTATAATTTTGAATTTCTGTACATTAATTTCTTATTATAAGAAAAATAATTGTTCCTTTGATTTTAAAAAAGTCTTGAAAGTGTTTTTTTAATAAAAATATAAATTTTGGTCAATTAAGAAAATCAAGTACATATTATCGAATTCTAATAATCTTATACCTCTCTGCGAAGTTCCATAATATTTAATTCGTTCCACATCGATTCTTTACATTTCATTGAAAATCTTGCGAGAAGAACTTTAAATTTCGTTTTACACTTAAAAAAAAAAAAAAAAAAAAAAAAAAAGAAAATCTCTCTTCATCGACAATAGCCACAATATATCGTAGAAAGTAGCTCTAAATCTCTCCTCTCTGAAGAAAATCATCCCCCGAGTTCTTGGCCTTCTCGATCCTTTCAAGGGACGAGCACTACGATTTAACAAGCAATAACTGGGTGAAAACAGGCTGAGATGAATTCGTTGGACGGGGAGAAAAAAATTCAAAAAAAAAAAAAAAAA